ATAATCACTGCGTGCTCTTTCTGATGTTTGTGACTGGGATTTCGGGGGTTTTTGACAGCAGGAAGATGGCATACTCAAATGGTCTATGTGGTCAATTTGCTTGTGCCTCTGCTCCCGCTTCCCCAATTGTGACACAACCAGAACGTGTCAAACACTCATCTTGTTTGGGCCCTTCTAGCGGAGAGCACACTTGTTAAAAAAGTAGACGAACCTCGCCCTCCAGTCAACTTTCCCAGAATACCCAAACCGCGGCTTCTATTCGAACAACAGACACGATTTCGCTCTTGCTCCTCCTCGACAACTTCACACTCCGATATTCTTTCTGTGAGCACTCTTTTGCTCCGCACCCTGCTCACATATATATAATGAAATCCAAGTTCAGAGATCCTCAATAAAGCTTCTGATCAATTCTCTCAGCTCAAGCTACCTATCGAACCTTTTGTTCACTATAATATGAGATTTCAGGTGACACCCACAAGGAAGTAATCCCAACTGGGTTGGCTGAATCAGAATCACAGCATACAGTGTATAATAACTTCTAAAGTAAACAGAAATATCATCACCTCATTTATTTATATAGTTTTACTATACTTTTTTTTAATAATCATCTTTTTAAAAATTACATTATTTAACATTGTTTCTGAATTTCAACAAAGAATGGTCAAAACCCAAGACAACCAGGTGCAACTTAGGCAATGGGAGACCAAGCTGGAGAGTTTTGGCTGTCTGCAGTTAAGAAAAGTAAAAAGTCGGGCACGTTAAGAATGAACCGAAATCCAGCCTAAACTGTGAGAACCACAGGGCTTCAGTAAGTCACTTTATAACATAGACGAGGCTAAGTGTGTGTCCACGTACATCACGTCTGATCAGCTGTTACACTCCTTACTGCTACATCACATCACTGTAAGGTCAACACAACCTCCACACCCACAATGCAACACAGTGTGAGGAAAGAAAAAGTCAGACCACATGTGTGATCTCATTACTCTATGTGGATGTGAGGCATCTTATGGTGTCAAAGCCCTCATGTCTGTCCCACGTGTGATTAAGTGGCTACATGTAAACTCTGCTACATGTTAAGTAAGCTAACATTTCATTGACTGTACTTGTGTTTAGTGTCTCAGTTTAGAAGTCCTGACCATGAATCAGTGGCCAGTTCCCTACACCATCATCACATTAGTTAACTGGACAAAGCTGGCTTTTACCAGAGCTCTTAGCCTCTGAGATGTTTCCATAAATACTCTGAAGTCACACAGATTCATCAGGAGTAGAGTCTGATCGCGATATAAAGCTAAAGCTTGAACACAAAAAGAGTAGTTGATCCTTCAATGAAACCACAGACTGAAACTAGTGTTACTGATTTTAAAATGTAATATTCATTGGAAACTAGTGGAGATACATTTCTGCTACAGTGACTATCCTGGTTAGAAATCATGATGCTACAGGATGCCCACATGATAACGGGCAACATGATGAGACAAAGTGAAGTCATTTTCTAACAGCATGAAAAGTGATCAGTGCAAAGCATTTTTACTCACCAGTAAATTTGAAACCTCAAGTTAGCGGCCATTTTTTTGCAAACTGCACCTGTTGTCTTTTGTTGTCACAAAATAAGCATTTCATTCATTCCTTCAAACAAAAGAAGGAAAACGAAAAACAAACAAGAAACTTAATATTTACAAATATTTTGTCTGTTTGATTCTTACACTTAAAAATGTACAGTTTTGATCCTCTTCCAGATATTGTGTGTCTGTCTCTGTCCTGCCACCCAGTTTGGTATTTTTCTTCACACATCCAGTTTCCTCAGAGTGGGCAGACTGCAGTCAATGGCGCCCTCCAGTGTTAGCTTATAAAATAGACACGGAAAAAACAGAGCAAACTAAATACCTTGTTTCTGTTCTCCTCCAGTGGCGTCACTGTAGCTGTGTTGTGGTGAGGTTTACTTCACAACCCCTCACTGCCTCCTTATCCACAGGAGTGAATACAAAAGGGTTCATGTGGATCTGATCAGACATATCAGATCCTCCGTAGGACAGATCAGCAAGGTATCCTTTCTGGCAAACATTGTGGGTAGAAAGATGGCCGTGCCTTTGAATGTCCTTATTTGCTAGAGATCAGTTCATCCTCTCTTTTGATTTTGATTTCTACATTTAAGGCTGTGAGTCTTTTTCCAATCTCCTCCCAAAGTCCCTTTCCCACAGCGTGCACCTCTACTGTCCATCATCTGTTCCACAGCATTTATCCACCTGCAGCACTCCCAAGTCAGTTGATTTGTGTTTTACATTGTGCACATTTCCCTTTGAGTGGGCTTACAAAATCTCTGACAGGAGCAGCCAGGTATATCACCCCCTTCCAGCCCTCCCCCACCACCCAGTTAGGCAGTAATAAAATAGAAAACAAATAGACTAAAGCTAGAGCACAAGCAAAGACAGCACCGGTGACTAACTTCTCCCATACTGGATATAGGCTACCATGTGTTCCTGTGGGCTCAAACAACAGCACATCAGTTCAGTTAACATAACCAGAATATTACCCATGATCCATGTTTGAGATCCTTAGCAGAGAATCGTAGGGGGGCATCGCTGAGCTGTAGCCTGCACATTCTCACCCAAAAGAAAAGAGCAGAATCAGAAACAGCAGTTATCAACTGTGTTGCTTTTACCCTGTTAAGGAGATCCGAGCCCACTTTTCATCTTGCAGCTCTGCGCCGCAGGCCATCAAGACCCACCGGTTACCCTCGGTGTGCTTAGAGTTTAATTTACAACTGATGAGCTCACAAAAAGTCACTAGCTTAGTGAATTAACCCTTGAATGTGAGGACAATAGCAGAGCTGAACTGAGGTCAGAAATTGTGTGGAACAGCACTGACACAGTGAAGTCAGGGGTTTTTGAGTTTTGTGGTGACAGCAGGGGAGTTTTGGGTGATCACTGCATTATGGGCGTCAGTTGTGAATACAAAGGTAGTGTACTGACGGACAGAGGACATGGGAGGAGTAAGTGATGTTGATATGAATGGGGGCGTTTGGGTACGCAGCAGGAAGTAGCTAATTTCGTAGTCTATGTTTTGGGGGTGATCCTGCCTGTCTGCCTCTCTATGTCTTTGCTGTCTAATTAGGGCCCATCTATGTCCACGTGAAGCAGTTCTGATATCACACACACACACAAACATAGAGACACACTCTTTCTCTCACAGGCACACATCAAACAGAATATGCATGTGCTTGAAATAGGGGTGCAGACAGGAGAAGGAAGGTATTCGTAAAAGAGCAAAAGCTGTCTGCCTCTGCTTTGTTTCTCACCCTCACTAAAATACAAAAATAATTTTGTACAGGCAAACTACAACAACAGATTTGGTACCTGACGTACCCGAAGCAAACATTCATCTCCATACTGATGGAAAGAAAGTAGCTACTGTAAGATGAAGGGCTTGCTGTTGGCGTGCTGCATTACCTGGTTGGAGAAATACGTCTAAATAACCTCATGAAGGAGAGAATGAATGGAAGAGTATGTTCACAGTTGTTGCTTTGACCCTAACATCTTCTGACATTTGTGGCAATTACTTTTTTTTAATAAAAGGGTATTGGGAGGTGAAGAGGATTCGTTGGGTTACTTTGAGATTTCCATGTGATGTTCTTGTTCTGTGAGGAAAAACAAAAAACAGAATATCCAGAGTGGGCAATATGATTTGATTAGATTTGGGAAACGTGCATTGACAGATACAGTGTCCTTTCCCCCACCATCATCTTTAAAAATAATTCATGCATAGATCCCCACTGAGAAAACCCATTTATATACTTTCTCCTTTGTACACATTTATATATAACTATATATAATATCATTTCTCTATATCTATATTTTCTGCAAAAATTCTTTCCACAAAAAATAACAATTAAACAAATGCTTGAAAAAAAGAAACAGAAGATGAAAGAAAGAGAAAAAAAACACAATCAAGGGCCAGTTTGGCACTTTGTCATGAGAACACACAGCATCTGTTAATTGACAGTAAATAGGAATACTCTAGAATTTCCTTTACTTTTTTTCTCCCTTGATGAGAAAGCAAACACAGTAGTACATACTTGGCACCAAGAATGCTGGTAGAATGAAAGTATCAGATATCAGCGTTTTCATAGCTATATGATTACTGTATGTACTCTATGCCCCCTCCTATAGCTCAGTAGTTTTTGAATCCTTAGAGCAAAGGAGTGTTGGGAGAGGGAGAGAATTACATGTCAAATGAGAGGAGCAAAGCAGGGATAAGACACAGATGTAGAAAAGAGAACGATATATGCACAGAACACACCAGGGAGACAGAAAGAAGACGCCAAAGTAAAAAAAGGGAAAACTGCAAGGGGCGAAAAGCATTTGTCCCTTTGTCAAATGTCAGGGGGCTTTAGTCTGGAAACAGAAGACCTTCTTTGAAAACAGTATCTTTTAAAGATCTAAATCACCCCAAAACTGATCATCTGCTGCCATGCAGTTCAGTCGCTTCCACTCCACCAGTGGAGCTGCTACGTTTGACAGCACATGATGGAGGAGGTGGAGTTGTTTTTGGAGAAACAAGAGAATAAGAGAACAGAACAAAGGCCCACATCCAGAGGCCTCCCTTCTAGATCAGTGGCAGAGCCAGTCTTCCTGGTCCTTAGGTGGCATTGTGTCTGGCCAGTCCCTACTATACCCTGGTGGTGGAGTGGGGATGGGGCAGGGTGTTGTTGTGGCCGGTGGAGGGGAAGGTGTTGAAGGCATGAAGAGGCTGCATGCTGGTGATAGTACTAGGGATCATGGTGATGGTGTTAGGTGTCATCAGCGGCACGTCGTCAGGGGCACGGCGCAGTGCCAGCGTGTAGTCAGGTGGGCAGGCGGGCCGTAGGATGTCATGAGGCCGGAGTGGCTCCATGTCATGGTGAGCATCGTGCTCCGAGTGCTTCATCTGCAGGGACATGATCTCCTCCTCCTGGCTGTGAGCCAGGTCGTTGGCAGGTCCACCCCGCTGAGGAGACAACCGGTGCCGTCGCATCTCGTGCCGCTTGTCACGCTTGTAGTAAAGGGCGGCAAAGGCCAGGATGTTGAGGAAGAGGAGCGACGCTCCCACAGCAACTGTCACACTCAGCTCAGTGGAGTAGTCCCGGGTATCTCCAGGGAAGAGGTCCTGGTGTGGACGCTCCGAACCCTCAGGCTCCGGATCAGATGGGAAGGTAGGGTAGGGGTGACGAGTGGTGCGAGGGCCAGGTGTTCTGGGCCAGGGTCTGTGGGTTCCTGAGCCAGGGCCTGGTGGCGAGCGGGTAGTGGTGGGGAAGAGATCATCATGCAGACTATGGAGGTGGGGGACTAATTCCAGCCAGAAGGCCACCTTGTTGGCCCTGTAGTTGTCTCTAACACGAGGTTTTAGGCCAATGTGGAGGTACTGCTTATCCTTCGAGTTGAACTTGGTCCAGATGACCTCTTCAAAGCGGTTGGGCTTGGTGTGAATGAATTTGGTGTCTTGAGGGACTGGCAAGTTGGGGTCCCTAGTGGAGGACAAAAAGCACATCAAAGTTATAAGTTTCAAGTCAAGCTTTCAATCAATGTGGTTCAAAGATTTCTTCATTGAGTTGACATCTAAACACTTAATACACCCTTGTGTTCTAAGTTTTTATTTATGAGCAGAGTGAGACAGGGCATTAAACTTTTAACAACTCGACCAGTAAGATCAGCTCCTCCCTCTCTCCTATTAACAGGGCACCAAAAACTACTGAAGAAGCACTACTCTAGCTGGTTAATCCTGCAGTCGGACCAAAGAGCAAAAAGGGAACTAATGACAGAAATCATCAAGCAAGTCTTACCCAGTCTTGGCGAAGTTGGTCCAGTAAGTCATGACCACAGCACTCAACATCACGTCATTCTTCGAGAAGTTGCATGGAAATAGGTCAGTGGCACCGATCATGGGCACGCCAAACACATACGGTATCTCATCTCCGTGTGCGGCATCGGCCCATTCGGGTCGCGTCTCAGTCTGGCAGTGGTGGTAGAACGTGTAAAAGTAAACCGGGGACTGAAACTCGGCGTGGAGCTTGGCGGTGGCCACTGCCGGTGCCACCCACTGGTGGTCAGTAAACAGAGCTAAGAGGGTCTTCCTTCGCATGTCGCCATTGTCCCTGTCCGCCCAATCTGTGTACATGAATTTAATGGTTTCCCTTAGGATGTCTTTGCCTGGAGAATAAGACGTGGGAGGGGAGAAAGGAGAAGGACAAAAAGGAAAAAAGAGAAAATAGTGATAAGTTAAGAGGAAAGTAATGACAGCGATAGAACATTTTGAGAGAGGAGAGTGGTCAAGAGATGTGAAACAGAAGTACACATTGCTAGGATGAAGTGGAATGACAGGAATAAAAGATGAAAGTCTGTGTTTGTATGTCAGTGTGAGAGATATAGTTGAGAGAGAAACTGAAAGGACGGACTGAGCAACACAAAGGGCAAAATAGAGAATATGCCTCTTAGAGACCAGAATGAGTGACAGGCACTTGAGAGGGAGCGTGACTGCATTATCCAAATGTGTCTGTATTTTGACTGTGGCCTGCTGTGAGGGGTTTGCAGGCTGATCTGTTAGGAACAACAGCACTGTGATTGGGAGCTGGCTGCCTGGGGGATGATGAGAGACAGCATTAGTGCCCACAGAGCCTCAAAGGCCAAAGCACAGACCCACCACGGTGAAAGATAATCTCGGTGATAGGCAATCTCTTTAGTATGCCTGTCTTGGTTGATACACATTGCTGGGCTCACTGTTTATCTCTCTTCTCATTCTTTGCTCACATAATGTTTTAAACACTTGCATTTCCACTGGGAGCTGCAGTTTTAGACAAGTTGTTGTTGATGTATTTTTTGTAGAAAGCATATGATAGTGTCAAATAACAAAAAAATGGAGCACCTCTTTTTCCGTAGTGTGCAATGTCACATGTAGCTCAGGCAGAGAAACATATTTATTGCATTATGTCATGTCATTATTATTTTGGGATAATGACTTGTTGTGTGACTATTGTTTTTATTTTGACAATTTTCCTTTAATTTCAGTCTTGTGTGTGTGTCTGTGTGGACCCAGGAAGATTTCATCTAATGGGGCTTCAAATAAGGCGACACACACTGCAAAGGTCATCTGAGAGGCAATAGCGGACATAACATGGAAAGCTTTAAAAGCCTGAAAGGAGTATAATGTTAGCATTCCTCACCCTCAGGGTAGCCATAGAGGTTGTCGACAAAGTTAGAGATGGTGTAGTCGAATGCTGCGGCTGAGATGCCATCGTTGTCCTCGCTGTCGTCCACAAACTTCAGCCCCTCTCCTTGGTTCACTCCTATGAGGATGTCATAGTTGAGGAACTCCCCCTGGTGGAGCAATAGGGGAAGAACATGTTGAGTGCTTACATTGCATTCAAAGAGCAGGATTTTCAGTCTACTGTACATGTCACAAATCTAAAATAACTACAGCCATGAATGCTCCGGAGTACAAGTCAAATAATATTTGTCAATATTTTGTATGTGATATCTATGCCATACAAGCTGTTGTATACTACGAGCTCAGTTAGAGACAGTGACAAGAAATCTAGTTTTCTGTTTTAATACTGCCACATGTTGTCTATTCATCACACTCAAAGATAAGTTCTACAAAAACTGTAGTTTCAAAGTCTATACTCTCACTTAAAGCACAACACTAGCTCAATAGACCTTTTTCCATTAGGTTAAACAGAGTCAGGGTGTTGCTGTTCTACATGTTGGCTCACTGGAAAGGCTCTGCTGCACTAAATGGAACAGAATCTTAATTAGGTAACATCCGTGTTTCCCCTTCTGTTTCATGTCAAAATGGCTGCTGATAAAAACGCCTGTTGAAGACTTTGGGATACTCACCCCTGATTATTTCTTACAGATTATGAATCGTTTGGTGGATCGAATAGGAGAGTCTGATAGCAACAAAATAGCTGCAAAACTCAAACTTATTTTATACCTCAGCATCTCTAAAACAAACAGTAACACTGGAAAAACTGCCGTTGTTATTTGGTGATGAACTGTATTTCTTTTTACCTACTTTCCTTCAGTGTGTCTCATTTTCTCCCCCTTACATGAGAGAGTTCCATTATATTACAAAATGACTTTCAAATTACACATATTGACTTCAGCTCTGTGTCATAAGACCATTATGTGACAGTAATATTAATACAATAACAGCGAGGAGAAACATGTGCATGTAAAATCTGACGTGACATGTAGCTGCACTGTGTTATAGTCAAAAGCAGTGGTTCCCAAACTGAGATAAAATATGAAATTAGGATATTTATCTTTTGGACTATTTCTTATTGTTTCTTTGTCCTTGTGAAATGCTGTATAGTTTTACCTTTTAGGGCCTTTTACAATTGTTCCAATGAAGCTGAGAAGAGAAAATCACTCTTTGATCTCTCAACAACCATGAGTCTAAAATATACCAGTGAGGCAATGTACACCACCAACACCGCAGCTGTTTTCCACTGTGTTACAGCGTTATAGGGTGTGAATTCACACCAGCTGGTAAACGTCACCGCCAGACCCCCAACTCTGTGGAAAGGTCACACTCACACCTAATGCAACAAGTTCTTCGTGTTCTCCTCTGTCTGGTTTGTCATCACAGCTCACGTCACTCTACTTGCACAATAAAAATCCATTATAGACCTTTGATACTGATGCCAGACTCTCACCTGCTGCATGAGGATCTCAGGATCATCAGGCACCACGTCTCCGTCCACCACGGGGCCAAAGGCAATGTGGTAACGGGCTGGCTGGATGTCCTGGTCCACCAGCTCCCTGAAGTTCTTGCGCCTCAAGCAGTCAACAAGGTCGGCCGTCTCTGTGTAGGTGCAGCCAACCTTCCGGGCCAGGATCTTGGTGTACTTGAGGGGCTGGTAGTTGACAGACCAGCTGGAGATGGCAGTTCCACTCTGGGCTATAGCCCTGTGGAACAGACCTGAAAGAACAGAAAAGATGGGGTGTTTATATCACTATACTCTGGGATAAATTTGGCCTTTTAACATCATGGTAAAATGTTGGTGATCTCACTAAATGTCACGTGCATTTCCCTCCGTTTTTAGCATTTTAGCAGGCAGGATGGAGCTCTTTGAAGTTGTCTGACTGAAGTACAGTTTTGGGATAGGGCAGGATGCAGAGAGACTACTTGAAGTGTATATCACATATCACTTTCTATTTTTTCCCTTATTAAATATACTACCAATTTTGACTTTTTTCATCTAACCATTCTCACTGGAGCAAAGCTGGCAGACACGGGATGGGACTACAGACCCAAAGCAACTCAAATAGAATATGCTATGGTACCGTAGCTCCAAGTTAATAAAGGCAGGAGTGGGAATAAGCTCATCTGAGACGTCAAAAGGGCCATTTTCCTCCGTCTTGTGCTGGCTGTTTCTTCTCTCAGCCTCTCTCTTGCTGTGTTTCTCCCTTCCTCTCTTCCTCTTTGTCTCTCTCTCTGTCTCCTTAGTTCTGCCTGTCCTGTGCTTTTTGAACCACTCAAGTGGCTCGTTAAGGGTCCGCCTGCCTCACTCGTTTCCTCTCGCGCTCCTTTTTTCTTTCTCTTCCCTCTCCTGGGCTGAAGATTGGTCAGTTAATTATTAAGCAGAGCCGCAGAGCCCCCTTTCCCTGGGAAATCAATTATAGTAAGAAGTAGCTTGGAAACAGCTATACCTACATACAGTATCTGCACTGAGAGAGGCAGCGGGGGTGA